AGTTAGACAGAGCTTAAACCATTCTTCTCTAAAACTGGATTTCAGTAACACTAATACCCCAACTTTCAATTTTTCCAGACTCATTCTCTTAACCTTCTGCCCTCTAATGAAGTAAATTAAGATCCTACAAATTTTTCATAAACTATGCCATACACACCTATCACTGCTACCAGCATTCCGTGATAAGTCTTCCAACTCAAACACCTTTTCAAGCTGCATGTTCCACTGACTAGGATAAGAAAACAAAACAAAGCCATTATCAAGCACTATATCTTCTTAACAAAACTTTAACTCTTGATTTGATTGATACAAGAGCAGTGTATAATATCTACTATCTTCTCACCAATGTGTCCGTCTTGAAGTGTGAGTGACAATGATTACTCTCTTGTGAAGTTTCACCAAGCTTTTCTCAGTGTGTGTCTCTGTGATTTTACTTCCAGTCTCCCTAAGGTAGTCCTCGTAATCAACATAGTCATCAGTCCCTCTATTGAAGCCCGACTCCTCTGGGAACTACACCATGAATAATCAATTGACCCTAACATTAGTACATGTATGCAAGTTCTCTACACTACTCTCTATACTTTTCCTATGGTACTTACAAAGAGAATTTGTCTTATAATCAAAGGCTTCTTGAGTTTGCAATTCTTTTCTTTATTCTCATGACCCTAATGTTTGATTCAGGGTGATACCATTGGAAGAAATTAGATGCTTATCACTATTAGGACTTAAAGGGTCAACATATATAGAAATGAGTGAGAGATGTGATGGCCATATGATTAGCTCAATGGAATCTAGTTTGTAAGGTTCTGATTTCAGCCCTAGCAGGGTCACTGTGTTGTGTTCTTGGGCAATATAATTTATTCGCACAGTCCCTCTCTCTACTTGGGATTATAAATGGGTACAGGCAAACTGCCAGAGGGAAAACTGACAAAATGCTTGGGGGTGGGGGGAACTTGCAACAGACTAGCATCCCATCCAGTGAGAGTGGCAATTGTCTCACTTCACTTCTCACTTTATGCTACTTAACCCTTTAGCTCCCAATATCTAATTGTTAATTCTCCCTTCTTGCTGCTACATATTTCCTTGTAAATCATTTACAAGAATTTGGTGTTAGATCAAGATAACGACTTCTACCTAGTCTTCTATATGATAATCTCTTCTGGGAGTCTAAGGGTTAAACTGGAATAAGCTTTAGCAAAGTGAGCCGGTAAGATTCAATTTACCTTTTTTATAATAACTTCAAGGTACTTTCTAAGAGGGTGCCTGTAACGTATGGCTTCTGATGCACGATGTACCTCCTGTAAAAAGATTAATCAAATCTCATCAACAACAAAGTCAAAAACACAACTAACAATTTTGGTTACTATCATTCTTGTATCTCAAAGAATATTTCCTCTTTCCTTTAAAGAAGATCATTGGGTTCTTGAGAGAGCATAAAGGTCTCCATTGTTTGATCAAAATGAAAACACATCATGTGGAAAAAACATATTAACATTACACAAGAAAGAAATCACAAGCCCTCAGTGAAAAAAAAAATCATAAAGAAGATTTGTCTGAATGACATAACAGGCTAAAACTTATCTACTGTAAGGACAGTACACATACTACTCAAGAACTCAAAATGATAAGACTGGCTGCAGTTCTGGCTACCTCTAAGACTTCTGAAAACTGTTCATCAGCTTCTTCTTTTTCAACACTCAGCTTTGAGATCTTGAAATATGCATGAGCCATCTGGAGCTCTAGCCTGGCAGTATTCCATGTGGTGCGTGGCACTTCAACCAATCCATAACCCATCAGAAATACCAGTAGAAGTAGCCCCCAAGTATTAGAAGCAGTGATACCAAGAATTTGGAGATTTGCTCTGGTTTGATAAAAAAAAATAACATGCTCATACTTAAATAAATTTTGTAAATAGAATAAGAGAGATGGCAAGTTTTGAGCTCAGTAGATAAATAGAGAAAGATGTTTTTCGTCTTGTCACAAGCATGGGACAAAGAAAAATTGTGAGTCCCATGAGGAACCGAACCTAAGACCTTCAGATGCATCGGAGCGTGGAATCCAAAGGTCTGAGGTTTAATTCCACATGGGGACTCAGAATTTTTTCTCTGTCTGTCTAAAATAAATTATTTTCTCTCTACCAACCCAAACAGTCAGTCACCCAAATATCACATCAGAAAACAAGAATTTCTTTATAAAAAGGAAACAGCACTCACCCATCTAAATGAATATCAGGTTTCACAATGACATAAACAAGAAGGATACCAAAGATGATCAGATAGCTGCCATACCACAGTGCATTCTCATACAGTGCAGTTTTAATTTTTCCACGCACAGTGAAATCTCCAGCATAGGAGTATGACTGCATTATGGGCAGGATAAGCCTAAACAAAAGAGAAAAAAATTTTTAGAGTGAAAGTTTGTGTCACTTTTTACTTGCTTGAATGCTGCATGTTTTAATTATTCACACTAACACAGTGTGTAAACATAACCCTTAGCACCCTAACATCAGTATGCACATTTTCTGTATTGTTCTTTATACATTTCCTGAGGGGCTGATGAGAATGTGTTTAACAATGAAGAGCTTCTCAAGTTGGTGATAATTTCCTTAATTCTGAAGAATGTTTGTACAACCAGCCATTTTTTATTTGGAGATAGAGGCAGTGGTGGGGGAGGGGGCAGGGAAAGGCAAAATATTTACTCCCAGCTCCCACCCCTCTCCTTAATTTTGACCATCACTTACCCCCTTGGTACAAATTTATTTCTCTCCCCAGCACTCCACTGCCATTGAAATCAAAGATGGCCACCATAATTTTCATGAAGAGAATTCTGAGTACTAGCTTGCCAAAATTATGCCTGCTCTGCAGCTAAGGTGAATAAGGCATATTTGTATGATTTTCTCTGCATCTTGGATACATTTGGGTCAAATAAATTGTTAGAAAAATTCAATCATTGATTCTTATCACAGTTTCCATATGTGGGTAACAAAAGAGTCATTATCCTTTTGAAAATTATGTAATTAGAAGCAAAATTTAAAACAATTTCACAAAGAAATCAGTGAAAATAAACAGATCCAAACAAAAGGTGTTTTGGAGTACAGGTGCAAAGCTTTTAGATAAAAGCTTCAAAGCATACACACTTAAATTCTAAAACTTGCTCCCAGAAATTCATTATGAAAAATTATGAAAAAATATACTAATCTCTACCCCAAATTCAGTCATGTCACCGACTGCAACATATGAATCTGAAGTGTCAATCATCAAAAATTATTCATTCATGTGCGATTTTTATCATTGTTGTCCAGTCCTTGAACTCACCATGAAAGTATCTGGGAAGACCAGTATACAACCCGCCAAAGATCAGGAAGAACGTGCTCTGGTAGATAACTCCAGGGCTTCTCACAGTCACTTGACGGAGTCGTCTTGCTGGAGTTCTTAACGGAGCTATTTTTTGATGAGTTTGAGCCAAGATCTCTCTTCTGTTCATTGATGTTTAATCCAGCTTCAAACAAACATTTCCTATAAAATGTCTGAATCGTGCACAAAACGTTACATTCTACGTTTTGAATCCGATCTTCCTGCTCAGGTAGAACGTTTGTTTTTTATATTATAAACAAAGTAATTTGAAGTGAAATCCACTTAAAATAAAACCAACAAGGTCTGACGTTTCATAACAGGGTTTACGGGTCCTCGTTTCGAGAATATATCACAAAGATAGTCCTTCTTTTCTGGGAAAATACTTAGACTTACCCCTGATACGTCTAAAGGAAGGATGAAGACGATGAGAAACGAGAAATACCAAGAAATAAAAACTGCTGTTGTGACAAGCCAATGTTGCTTTCGCCAGTTTCCATACTGGTGAAGAAGACATAGGGTAAGAAGGAAGACAAAGATCATTTCCACCGTAAACGGTGCAGCACTCATCTTGAAATAGCTTGGTTCCCACACGAACTGAGTTTTTGTCCTTTAGTAATGAGTCTGCTTAGAAAAGGTGGTTAAAAGTTTGATGATATGGCAGAAGTTCCTCAGCTGACCGATCATAGCTGTGTTTTCAGGAAGCCTGGAAACTAGCAACTTTTCGCAAAGGCTTGATAGAGCCTGGGTACGAGTAAAAGGACGTAGAGCTGATCACTCAAAAACCGTTCCTTTCCTATGGAGACGTACTCAAACTTGTTCTCCGTTAATTTCAAGAATGATTATCATTTCGGCTTCTTGTCGGTGTCGCTAAGATGTTGTTGAAATATTAAATTAACGTTGCATAGAATCCAATGGTATCGACCCTAACATATTTCCCATACTTCTAAAGACGAAGAAAGAAAGAAAGAAAGAAAAAAAGAAAAAAAGGTAAGAAATACCACATGGTGTACCAAGTGTCCGTTTTTCACTTGCAGTTTACAAAGCTATATTATTCTTTCATATTCCGGTTTTATTTTCTCTACGCCGTGCAGACCTATGTAGGTTTTCTACTGCATGACACATTCAACTCTCTGACTGTCTAACAAATCGCGTATTTTACGAACTACACTTTTCAATATAGAATGTCATGAAGGTTCTGAGATGTAAGACTGAATTTAGAAGACACAGGAGCCTGGCGATTAAATGAACAATAGCACACAACGTGTTACAGTATAAGACGCCAACAAAACCATATTAATTAATTCATATATTGTTTAAACAGCTGATTAACTGATGTAAACCTATCTTATGCCACGTAAAATTAGGTTTTGTACCCTACAACTCATTAAAAAAATCTTTTATCTGAGTCGAAGCTTTGATTCCTCTTTAATCAAGAGCTCAAACCTTAGATCGCAGTTTACACTGACCAGATCAAAAGAATCATAGATTTCTCTTCAAGTTGGGAAGGTTCGAGAAAAGTTTTCAAGCGGACGGATTGATTTTTCCGACGCAAAATTGTAATTCGGAAAAAAAGTTTTTAGAGACGACAAATATTTTTGTTGAATACACCTGTTATGAGTGAACTTCCGAAAAAGATGATTCTCCAAACATTTTCAATTTTCATAGTATTTTTCCTCGTAAAACTCGAGTTTTCCATGTCGACGAAACATGGTATAGTGGAAATCACTGCAAGTAATTATCAACGTTTAGTGATTGACGGAGACAAAGATGCCTGGATTGTCGCTGTGAAAGGTGCTGGGAAAGTTTCAATGGACGAATGGAGGAAAACTGAGCTTGATATGCGTGGCTTGTCTGTGCGAGTCGGAATAATTGATCCAGACACTGATGGTGCATTTTTGAAGAGGAAGGTAAACTGTTCGTTATTTCGTGGTCAAAGTTTATCAGTCATTTTGCGATTAATTCTGTCACTCCCAGGATCTCATTGGTAATTCTCTTTACTGTCTTCCATACAATTCTTATAATGATAGTTCTGAGAATTTGTTATTAGATCAACTATTAATCCCCTAATTGGTATGGTTCCTTATTCTCAAAACCTACGTGGTTGATATTTGAACTGATATTGTAAGGAGAAATTCTGTCTTGGTCACTCAGAAGAATTAAAGCGTTAAGATAAAGATGTATCCCCATGGATAATACACCTCGTGTGCTATGAAGGAAATCAACGTGTCATACTGTTAATGGCAATCATACTGATTACACATCATGGTCACAATAACGTCTGTTTTGTACCTTAGGGTTTCCTCCAGAGAGACAAAAAATATTCAGTGGCTCGTGTTTTTCCTTACGGTGGTTACAAAATAAAATCAGCTGGAAAGAAAGATGTGAAATCTCGATTAGAAGCCGAAACTGAGGTGCTAGAAAGTCTTCCAGATGAAACAACCAAAGTTTCAACAATGGAAGAACTACAGCACTGTGTGAGAAGAGGATACGCAGCCAAACCCCTCAAAATGCCAGTTTTGCTATTAACAGGTAACATATTTTTCAGTAGGGGAGGGAGGGGGTGGTGTCCAATCACTTTTTCTTGACAAAGGGGGATAGGGGTGGTGTGTTGCCTTTGTACCCAACACCTCCCTAGCTAATAAAGCCACTGGTTACCATAAAATTGAAATGAGTGTGGGCCTTACGCATGTACTGCCCTCGCGAGTGCTAAGGTTAACTTTCATGTAAGATAGTGTGTTTGGTCTAATAAAACAGTAGGGTTTACGTTCACGGGCATAAACATGTTTTGGGTCAACTCGGAGTCATTTTAGTCCGAGCCGGTAGATGATGACTCTGAGGAGGGCTCAAAACAAATTTATTCCCAAGAACATAAACTGTACTACTATTTATAGACTTTATATCACATAGGAAGGCATTGAGAAATAAGAAACTGAGAAAAAAAGACGACAGAACAGTCTGAACAGCCACGCGAGTGCGCAAGCGGGCTAAAATACATTTAGCCGCAATACCCGACAAAGTGATGGTGGAGAAAGATGTTTTTTCCTCTTGTCACGAGCGTGGGACAAAGAAAAAATTCTGAGTCCTCATGAGGAATCGAGCCTCAGACCTTCGGTTTCTGCGCTCCAATGCTCTATCATTGAGCCACAGAGACTCCACGGTGAGCGAGGTCTATTATGACGTTCATACAGTGACAATAATTGGGTAAGGTTCATGTGTATGGAGCTTGACTGTCTTTGTGCCACGCTCCCAACACAGGTGTACAAAGATAACAGTGAAAAGTCATAAAATAAACCCTCTACACTTTAAGATCGGTATTCATATTCTCCATACTGTTCTCTGTATATTTATTAAGGTGCTGACAAGGAGAATTTGTCTAACCATCAATAGTTTCTTTAGCCGGGTGATCATTTCCTTTATTCTCGTGACATTAATGTGTGATTTAGTGGTGATATTGTAAGGAGAAATTAGATTCTAGTCACTCTTAGGGGTTAAAGGGTTAATAAATATTTTGATCCACTCTCACCTTTTTTCTTTTTCAGACAAAAGTATCACATCGCCTGTTTTTCGTGCTATTGCCCTCAAATATTCCAAATATTTCAACTTTGTTGTCCTTCACAAGCCGAGTCAAGAGGTGTTGCACAATTTCCAACTAAGACAGACTCCAGCAATCCTGGTCATGATTGCAACACAAAGTGAAGACAAGCAAATCATTAGATTTAGCTCAGTGATTTACGACCCCAAGGAATATGGTGAAATATCTTACCTTAATTTGACAAGATTTTTCTTCTCTGTCCATGAGAAGCATTGGCTAGACCACCCAGACGCGAAGAAATACAAAGGAAAAGTTGGCTTGAGAGAGTTCTTCATTGAAGACGTGAAGAACACACTGGGGGGAGAGTTTGAGAGTGACAGACCAGAAGATGAGAGTAAAGTGGCCAAAGAAATTACGTTCGAGAATCAAAACAGAATGTGTGCAGATTCTAATAGGGGCTTATGTCTCATCTACTTTGTGGATGGCAAGGACAAGAAAGGGGTCAGAAAGGCTTTGAAGTTTTTTAAAGATCTACGGAAAATGTCAAACGTCAGAGGTGAGAAAATATTTCGATCTATAACTAAAGGCATCTTGAAATGTTTCTTGTGAATGAGAGACGGCATCCGAGAAAAGCAGCTTTAGGGACATGATAGGTTTTTATTCTTATAATACTGAGTTAATTATTAGTTCCGGTAGCGATGCAGAATAATACGTTTGTCTTACTTTGAAGAAAAAAAGCCCGCCATTACAATTATCTAGTGTAAAATAAAAGATAATTTAAGTGAGAATGTATGAAAACCTCAAAGGATAAAGGACAGGAATATCCCACAACCAGGTATCCCCTCTTTACCAGAAAGTCCTGCAAAGCCGCAGCACGCTGTCCCTAAAATAGCTTAAGGAAAAAAGCCACAGGACAACCAATAGCAGTGAGACTTTCTGCTTACGAGCTCCCTCCCTCCCTTCCCTCCCTCCCGCTCCCGTCCCTACCCCCCTCACCGTCCGTCCCTCCCTACTCCCTCTCTCTTCTCTCACTCCCGTCTCCTCCATTCCAGAAGAGAATTGAATGAATCAAATTCGGCTGAAATTATTTTTAACGAGATTATTCCTTTTAAAATTCTTCCAGGTAAACCTGTACTCTATCTCTGGATTAACGGATCTTGCCATCCAGAATATGGTGAAATTTTTGGAATCTCTCCGCACAACCTTCCGATGTTGCTGTTTGCAAAACCAATGCAGCGGTTGTTTAAAACTCTGAGTGGACGCTTTACAAAGGAAAAAGTCAGTGATATTATATGGAATATATTTCTGGACCGTGAGGCGTTGTCGCCTTTTTCACGGTTTAACGAAATTCTCCCCGTTGACTGCCAGAAAGGGGCGCCTTCGAAGCGAATTAAGAGAGAGGAAAATCAAGATAAGAATATGAAAAGAAAGGAGAAGAAAAAGAGCGAAAAGTAAGTATAATTTAGAGTGTAGACATCAAAGTCGTGCTGGATTTCACTAATGACACTTCACCACGCATTCTGATTGGTCCAAAGAACTTGCACCATTTCTCGACCAAACATATTTAAAACTGGAACTTATCGCTTAACTTTAACTCTTAACTGTCCCCCCCCTTCCCCCCTCAGTAAGTACCACAGACACCAACCATCTCTTAAGAGGGGTACTCATGGTCAGCGTTTACCACCGGGGAATTCGGGTGGGGCTGAAAACTCGGAAAAACTAGGGTGGGATTGTAAGAGGAAGAGGGAATGGTTGAAAAAAACGAGATTCATGTTTGTTTCGTTTACAGGAAAGCTTCAAGTAAGGCAAAGGATACAAAGGCGAGGAAGACCACGAGAGTAGACGAACTCTGACTGCTAGAATCTTGTTCTTTGTTCTGTTCTTGATGAAAACGATTTCGAAATTGTTCAATTTTTTCTTTTTCGTTACTTTGCAATTCCCAAGACCCGATATTGTAAGAGGCAACTTAAAATAAAAATTACTGACCACCACAACTTTCTCAAAGGACCAAACAAAATATAACACTTGTAAAAAAAGATTGAAAAAAAAAATGATAATACTAAAGGTTTCTTCAAATTATAAATCTTAAAACTTTATTCAACTACCAGTTCATAGACATGTATATGTACAATAAATTATGAAACGATCAAGTAAAATTCAAAATGAATACGAACTCTGGCGGTGGAACAAAAAATTTGTCCACTCCTTGTGTCAAAAGAGTATAGAGTAGTAGAGTGTATAACTCACTAGTCATTCGCTAATTTTGAATTACTTCACAGCATTCAGTTAAATATACAGCTCCAAATAAAGATCAGTGTCCTTCCTTTGAGCTCAGCTTTTGTAAAAATATCTGTAATTCCTCTGAATCAATTCCGTTTCTCTCCATGTTTCCCTCCGCACAACATGCACCAAGCCTTCTAATCCCTTAAAATTGTTCTTCATTTATTCGTCATTTCCACTTCTAAAATAGAGTGTCCATCGTAGTACTGCGATCCTCGCACGGTCTAAAACCGCTTGGAAAGAATCCATAGCTGGTCGGACATCAAGAGCGACAAACTCTCCACTCTTGTAAGCCTCTTCGTCACCTACATCGTAGTAATCGATAATATATCGGACTTCCCGGCCGCAGCGATCGACAACCCAGTCGTGACGATCAAATGGAAGCTCGTAACTGGGGAATAAAGGATGTTCAAATGTTAGCGCATGCATTTGTGTAAATTATATTTTCTGTTCATAAATATTATATATAATTCTTCTCTCTACGTGTAAAGGGGGAGTGTGGCAAACTATTGCTGTCCTTAACACCATGGCTTTGTGTTGTTATTGACCCTTTAACCCTTTCACTCCCACAAGTGACCAAGACAGAATTTCTCCTTACAATATCAATACAATATCAAGCAGGTAGGTGATGAGAATAGAGAAGAATATCAATCATGGGATTATTAGTTGATCCAATACCAAATTCTCTGAACTAACATCATAAGAATTGTATGGGAGATAGTAAGGAGAATTACTAATTAGATCTTGGGAGTGAAAGGGTTAAATCCCAGAAGTGATTAACATGTAACTTCTCCCTGTGCTATCCGTACATTATTCTGCAAACAGGTGATGAGAATATTCAAACTTATCAGGTTATAGTTGCTTTCTTGATCTAACACCAAATTCTCATGACTAATTTACAAGGAAATGTGTAGAAGCTTGAGGGAGTAATTATTAACAATCAGATCCTAGGAGTGATTGAGTTAAGGAGAAAAGGTTGAATTTTTTATTAAGGAACCATAGAAGAGTGACCTGGTTTTCTTCTTATATAAGGTTTCACCAAAATTAAAACAGGGGAGCACAAGAATGAAAACGGATCACTTTGTATACAGATGACCAATTCACCAAATTAAAAAGGTTCTATCCTATATATTAGAAATGAAATTAAGTTTGCCATTGACATAAGTAAATTCAAGTAAACATGACTTTAAAGAAAAATGCAAAGCCAAAGATTTAATATAACACACACAATTTTTTTGGCAAGGAAGGAATTATTATGCAATCAAGTTGTCTGATCATCCAGGTGACAATAATCTGGAGAAGGCCTGTTGTCAGTAATAGTGACTGACATTTGGACAACCTGAGGGGTAGTCATCATCAGAGTCAAGTGAGGAGTTGTTGTCAGTCAAATGTACTACATCCAGTTCATGAAAACTGATTTGTCAGTTTAGCTGTAATGTTATTGGCTGTAAGACTCAAGTGGCGTAAGTTCATCTTGATCACAACAGTTGTTGAAACCTCAGTCACTACTACCAGCAACAGTCCTTCTCAGGATTATACCCACCTGGGAAATCAGACTACATGATTACACATTACCCCCTGATTCAAACCATTTACAGGAAGGAACATGTATTTAATCCTACCCCAGCCAATTCCGCATTCTTGCTCTTGGAGAAAACTCTTTTGCCTTCCCTTTAAAACTAAGCAGCCTGGGTGTTCCACACTCACTGAAAAAAAAAGTATTCATCACCATAAAAATAATAAAAATTTAATAAATGGGGAATAGCCAATATTTAAGTTTCCAGAGAAGTGATTAACCCTTTCTCCCCTAGGAGTGACTATTATCTAAATTCTCATTACAATATCACCCCTAAATTTAAACATTAAGTCATGAGAATAAGGGAAATGATCCAAAACTCATGACGCTCTTGATTATTAAACAAATTCTCCTTGTCAGTACCATAGGAAATGGGAAGAGGAAAATAAGGAGAATATGCATACCAATGCTAGTGTTTAAAGGTTTAACAGGCAACTTCCCCTTATTACATCAATTATGTTGAAATCATGGTTATCTGAAAGTGACCAAATTAACTGTCATGTCTGCATCACAGTAGCAACACAAATTTAATCATTTGTACCTCACATCAGTACAGATTTTTTGTATTCTTTCTCCATAAATTTGCCTTAGCTGGTAAACATTTCTTTTATTAAAGAGAGAGGTTTTTTTCATCTTGTTACAAAGTGGGGCAAAAAGGAAAAAGAAAAAACAAAGTCCCCATCAGGAATTGAACCTCAGACCTTTAGATTCTGCGCCCTGATGCTTCATCACTGAAAATTGTATGGCAGACAGTAAGGAGAACTACTAGAAAGATCTTGGGAGTGAATTAGGATATTACTGCAATTCAGTAGTAATATCCTAATGAGAAAGTAGAGGTTACTTATTCTTGGAGGTTAACCCTTTACACCTTAAAATCAATATGCATATTCTCTATACTGTTCTCTAAACATTTCCCACAATGCCAACATCAAAAATTTGAGTAACAATCAAGAGCTTCTTTAATGGGTGATCAGCTCCTTTATTCTCCTGACCTCAATTTTTGATTCAGGGGTGATATGGTAAGGAGAAATTTGATGCCAATCACTCTTAGGGGTTAAAGGGTTAAGCATAATTATCATCCTACTTTGCATGAAGTGCTTCCCATTTCAGTATTTCCTGCCATGCACTCTCGTTGTTAGCATTATGAATCCTGATAATGTTGGCCATATCATTTGCCTGTACTTCATCCTCCTGCCATTTCCAACCCTTGCGTAACATTGCATTCCAAAACATTTGCTGAGATGGGTACACCCAGTTCTCATCCTTGCCAGTGCCACCTCTAGGGATGGAAGACACCTGGCGATTTATTGGCAGAGGAAAGGGCTGACCTGGAGAGGGCTGTTGATTTGGTGGTGGCATCTACAAAGAGAGCAAATAACCCTTTACACTTTCATTCAGGAGTAATACTGTTGGGATAAATTAGATGGTCATCACTTATATGGATTGAAGGGTTGAGTAACTGCCTAGCATTTCTAAAGCATAGACAGGAGTGCACACATGGGATCCATCACTAGAGTTTTATTTCAGTGTAAATCAGGGTTTTAATTGAGAAATGTGGCCAGAGGATGTAAGTGTTGAGTATTTCAAGCGTAAAATATTTTCCATACCTTGCAAAATAACATGGCTGCCAGAAATAAAATTTTTGTTGACAGGAAAAAAAGTTAAAAACAGAATGAAAAAAAATGGAGACAAACATATTGTACTGAGTAGTACAAAGTATTATAACCAAATGCTCAAGCCACACTATAATTTGAGACCATAAACACTATGTAACAAAAATGAAAACAGGCTGCAACACGATCACCAAATATAGGTCACCAAATTCACGACTTTGGAATAAATTTGGGTACAATTTCAGTCACCAATATTTTTTTTCAACATGCCATGGCAACCAAATCAATAACCAAAGGGTACTAAAGAATATTTACCATGTTACTTGGATCCAACGCATCTGAACTGTTATCAAGAGCAGCACTATCACAGCCAGCTCCTCCGCTGATAGGACACTGGCTAGCTTGTAGTTTTACACTGCCACCTTGATGGGCAGGACACTCACTGACTGATGGCACAGGTGTACTGTGTTGGACTGGACAACCAGCAGAAGGGGTCTGGGTGACAATGGCAACACCGGCACCTGAGTCTGCTGCAACTGGTGCTGACGAGGTACTACCCATTCCTATAATAAAAAGAAACCACTGACCCTTTATAAGAGCAGCTAAAAATATTTACCAAAGAGTAAAAAATCGTTATAGAAGGACACCTGCATACTGGAAAGTTAAAAGACTGAAATCATTAACCCTTTACATCCTAACATCAGTATGCAAACTCTCCATACTATGGTCTATACATTTCTTAAGGTGTTGACCAGGAGAATTTGTTTAGCAATCAAGCAATCAACTTCTTTAGTTGGTGACCATTTCCTCTATTCTTGTAGCCTAAATGTATGATTTGGGGATGATATTATAAGAAGAAATTAGGATATAAAATTAATTAGAGATCTTGTTCTTGTGTAAGTTTCAGTTGAATATAGGGGGAAAGTTTCCTAAGAAATTTGCATCAATGAAAGGGAGTGGTATTAAGTAAATAAACCCCTTTGGAAAACATGTATGTCAGCTGAAAATGTAAGCAGCTAAGAGATTGTCCAAGAAGGAATATTAGGCCAGGAAGTAAAGCTTTGAGGACAAATGTGAAACTTTGGGGATCAAATAACTTTGTGTACTTTCCAGAGCAGTATTTGAGATAATCTTTTTAACATCACTGGCACTGGACTCCACAAAACAAGCTCATTTTTCTTCCATGTAAAAGTAACAGATATGAAAAAGCGAAAATCTTGGGCTGGCTTTTTTCCTGCTGGCTTTGTAACTTTTCAACAGATATAAACTGGGGGACAAATATCAATGTAGATTGGGGTTATCACGTGATAACTGTCCCTTGATTTTGGACTGCATGACGTAAAGAAGCCAATGGAGTGGCGTGAAAATTAATAGCTGGGTTATAAAATAAGATAATTTGGTTTCATCAACTGAGTTGATAATGTACAATGGCCACTGCTATGAGTTTCTGAAGCTGACGTTTCAAGCATAATCAGAGTGAATGACAAATGGGTAATACTTGAAATTTCAGCTTTAGAAACTCTCTACGTTGGCCAATTTACAGTATCAACCCAGTTGACAAAACCAAAATATCTTGAAAGTTTCAGTCAGTTAACTAAACAGAGGTGCATACAATGAAAGAATGATTAACAACAATTAACGAAAAAGCCTAATAGTCGATAGTAACTTACGAGAGAAATCACATGATCAGAAATTTTATCAAAAGAAATTAAGATTTCTATTAATACAGAAAAACCAAAACCTCTCTTTAACTTTCGTTGAACCATACATTGTAATCACTTTCGATCTGACGGAAAGTTTTTAAGAAATCACAGTAAAATTCACCACTTTTCCGAGTATTTCTTATTGCAGTAGTC